CCTCGTGAATTTGTCTCTAGGAACAACCAGACTGCTTTGAGTACGTTCTGAAGTCCAAAGTAGCTGTCTGTATAAAAGGCTGTCTTTGTGACTGAGAATCCTATGTCCATCTTCCTGGTAAATGTATGGTCATCTTCCTGACCATCCACAGCTATATGTGAGCCCATCAGGTATAAAACACACCACAGCTGTTCTTATTAGGGAGATGTCGCAGGGGCACCTGAGAAAGTTACAGGAACAAGTAGTCGTCTAGTCAATAACCTATGGCTTTGTCAAGTGAGGCTCCCCAGTTTGGTCAACTTGCTAAATGCTATGTTGTCATTGCTGTACAGTCCCACAGCCCTCTGCAGTTATACAATCCTTAAGTCTCCTCGGAGCTCAGAAACTCCTAAATGCGGGATCTTCCAGAGAACTTGCCATACTCCAGCGGTGTTCCTAACCCAGAAGCACAACGTAAACTTGTATATTAAACCCACAGATCCCTAAGCAGGGGTGTGGTTCTTCCTGATTTTTCTCCCTTGTCTGTAGTTAAAGCTGGCCTTGTGTCCTGGCCACTGCCAGCTTAACTTCACCATTCACAACTATTGGTCAGAACCTCACAAGAGATCATGCTTTTAAGATGGAGGAAGGATAGTTCACAGAGTCACTACCAGCAAGGCAGGATGTGACACTAGTGGCCTTTAACCTCTTCAAACAGCCCCTCTCCTACCGCCACTGAATACTGGTGTCCCATACTCAGTCTGGTCAGAATGGATTGCATTGTCATGTCCCCTGCAAACCTAACCTCCTCCCTTGCTCTCTCCTTCAAAGCCACCATAAAGATCATCCCTGCCCTCCCTAGCATCTGGACTCTTCCTATTTGAAGGAAATTCCAGTTTTCACATCTGTCCGCAATGTCTGGGAGTATGCATATAACATGGCATGAAAATTCAGACTGCAGCTACAGGACTTCAGTTCCTGAGTGTGGCACCAAATCTAGTGAGCTTTCGTGCAACATGGGAGGGTGGATGTTATGGCTGTTCTTTTGTGCTGGGGGGCAGGGACTGGGGTTCACCTTAGCATGTGAACCAGGCTGGTCTCAGACTCAAAGATCCACCCGTCTCTGTCTCCTGACTGCTGGAATCAAAGGTGTGAGCCACCACTCCTAGTCCATTATGGCTGTTCTTGTGGAATGACCCTATCCCAGCCTCTCTTGGTTCCTGTATTTATCCTGAGTTTGCTTTTCCAGCCTTCCCATTGACCTGGTAAGACCTAATACTTACACAGCAGGCAAATCCCTTTCCTTCCTTGAGATCCAGAGTCCATGCTCACTGTTTGCAAGTAAATCCTGATTAGTGTCTCCCCCTACTTTCCACCCCCAGGTCGGTGGGCTAGGAGTCCTTCCTGATCGTCCCTGTACCATTCGCACCACTGTCCCTAAGACCCAGTGGTTCTGCCTGACCTGTCACCCACGACCACACCAAACAGGCCCAATTACACCCATCTATATTCCTGCTGCTCTGTTGGTGGGTCCTCCGGCCCCAGGATGTTCATCAGGGCCAGCTGCCTTGGTGAAGCTTCAAAGTCCAGGGCAGACTACCATCCAGTTTTCTGATAGAGAAGGAAATGGAGAAAACTGGAGGGCGGAAAGGTGCCTGAGTCTGAGAGGAGGGACGAGAGAGGGCGGTGTGCGACACAGGGGCTGCTCAAGCACTCCCGTGAGGCCTTGCGACCGCCCCAGCTTCTCCGCTAGGGCCGCTGATCCTTATTTTTCTATGTTCAGATCAATGAAAACATATTAATTAGCCTATAAATGGAAATAAATTAACTTAAGAAGATGCGGTTTTTATCTTGCTTTTATGGTAGCCCAAGTTCCCGGAGGGTGCGTTAATTGATTTGAAATCCAAATCAGCCTAATGCACTTGGGCACTTTGCCCAGTGGGAGTTAGCAGCGACTCCTGTAAAGGAAACAGCTTTGTGCCAACTGGTTTTACACATTTTTATCACTGCGGATGAGGTAAGTGCAATTATGGGTGGAGAAAGTCCATTAGCACCACATCCTCTGTGCAGTTAGTAAATGTTTATTGAGCATCTACTTTATCCAAACACTGTGTGAAGCACCCCTGCGCAAGGCTGGATGACTCAGATCTGAGCACCCTGAAATCTTACTGGAGGCCCTCTAGAGTATCCCCGTCCTGCCAGTTCTGCTTGGCTGGTGCTGACTCTCACAGGTGACCTACAGGAACCAGATAATGGGACATCAATGCGCCTCATGGAAATGCTGGGCGGGGGAGTGAGGACGGTCACAAAGGGGGCCAGCTTGGCTGGCCTTGTTCTGTTCCATCTCTCCACGCTGTCCCTTCATGAAGACACAGCATCATGTGGGGAACTGGTCTCAGAGTCTGTGGAGATGGTTCTAGAAGCTTTGCTTAGACTCCACTTCCAGTGTTTCCAGATTTAGCAAATACAAATACAAGACACTTCAATGAATTTGAATTTTAAATAAACTGCACTTGTTTTAGTGTACGAGTGGGGCATGCTTATACTTACTAGCCCTTAACCAGGTGTCTGTGTTTTATCTGGCAACTCTTCCCCTCCAATTCCAGAGAGTTACCCTGCGCCCCAGTAGTTCCCACTCCCAGCCTGAAGCAATGCTCATGCTATGGAGTGCAGAAGCAGCAGCCTCCCACCTGAAGACCATCCCAGAGGAGCCCCCCTGCAACTGCATTCCCCAGAAAGGAAGTTCAGTTCCTCTACCTGCTTTGATGGATTAACTACGTTTTGTTGTTGTTGTGATAGAATCTGACAAAAGAAACTTAAGCAGGGGTTTATTTTGACTCCCAGTTTGAGGAGAGCATCTATCAAGACAGAAAGTTGTAGTGGCAGGAGTGTGAGGTGGCTGGTCATATTGCAGCTACAGTTAGGAAGCAGGTACTCTGTGGGATTTTCTTCACTCCTCCTGTGTATTCAGCCTAAATATCCCAGCCCATGTGCTGGGGCCACTTACACACAGAGTAGGTCTTCCCCAGTTACACCTCTGTAGCTAAACACATCCCCACACATGGCCAGAAGTGTGTCTCCTAGGTAATTCTAAACTCATCCAAGTTGACAATGAAGATTTTAATCATCATAGCTGGGCACTAAGATGGTACGTCCTAAGGCAGATGCAGATGAAAAAGGCATAGCCCCACCTGGAGGGACCCAGAGGGCAGCAAAGGAGGGGTCAAATATTCAAGTTTTCAAGTCATCATTATACAAAGCAGAAAATGATTAGCTAGCAAGGAAACTAAAAGGAAGAGGAACAGAGAGGAAGAGACCACATTTACGTGTGTGGGTGGGAGTCCTGCAGGTGTCCTGGGGGAGGTGGCAGTCACAATTGACAGGATTCATGACACATATGTAAAATGGTCACTGTGTCCCCACAGCACTGGTGTGTATCTCTGAGACCCTTCAGAATTTGGATGTCATGAAAGAGCTCCCAGTAGCTCCAAGAAAAAGCTTCAGTTGCCTTCCCAGATGAAATTTTGGGCTAGCCATGACCCAAGAGAGAGCCTAAAACTGTAAAGAAACATTTCAGAAAGGGCATGCCAGGTGGGGCAAATGGCATTTACTGCATCATGCAAAGGTGGTTGTGTGTTTAGAGATGCAGCTAGATGCTGGGGCTTGTGCCGGATGGAGAATAGAATAGCCATCCCAAGGTCTATCGGGGGGAGGCTAGGGGAACGCTTGGCATCTCGGGGCACCCTCGCTTCTTTTGAAAGCTGGGTCACCTGTTCTTGCTGGAAACAGGCTTCCTTCCAAGGGTCTGCTCCTGATGCTTGGTAGACACTGTTCTAATGAAGGAATACCAATCACACTCGCTGTCAATACTTAGCCACCTGAATTTTGAGCAGATAACATTTCAGAGCCTGCTTTATGCCTGCCTGCATTAAGTGAGGCCAAAGAAAGACTTCTCATTCATTGCCTCTATGTGAACAAGAGTAGGCGCTTTGCAGAATGCAAACATTCACAGAGCAATAGCTGAGCCCAGTCCTGATAACACCCTGAAGGTAGCTGGAGAAAAACGCCCAGTTTGGATTGCCTGTTGGCTGGGCAAGTAGCTAAGAGAACCTTCTCTGGGGACTGGTGCAGGGGCTCTTTGGCTCGTGATAATGCCACGGGGATGGCTCAAGAGTCAGAAACGGTACCTAGAGACGCCCAGGGCTGAGGGCTCTGGAGACAGAATAGCCGATGGTTAATTAATGCTCCCCAGCATGTCAGACAGACGGCTCCAGCTGCCTCCAAGCAGGTCTATTAGCAGGGTTAGGCTCCTCTTGCAGGCCACGGCTCAGTGTGGAGCTGTCAGGAAATGTTTTTGAGAAATTAAAGTGACATCGCTAAGTGGGTACACACACCAGGAGCGAGTCAGCCTTCCTCTTTCCTCCTCCTGCTCTGGGGGAGTAGTGCATGACAGTGTGCCTGTGTTTCTGCAGGAACTTAATCAAAGCTGGCTGCCAGATAGAGCCAGCCTGCGTGTGAGCCTTTTCAAGCCAGGCAGGAGCAACTCCCAGACCCTCCAGGGTTCACAGCCCTGTGGAATCTGCCCCTTAGACTCTTCTGGACCCTGGGAGAAAAGAAAGCCTGAGCTTTTCCTCCTCTTATTTCTCCTAGCAGGGCCTCTCCCCAGCTCTCCCAGTCTCTCCCACCTGCCTGCCCTTAGTGCTGTCCCCCTTTCTGAGCCTGCTTCCTTTCAGATCTGAACCTCCCAACGGTTTTGCCTTCCCTGGGCCTCCATTATTAGCTCTAGCAAGCCACAGCTGTGTGTGGAATGACATTGTTTTCATCAGACACTGCTGTCCACTGCAAGGGCCCAACACCTCCCCCTTCCCTTCCTACCAGGAGGCTTCACTGGAAACCACAGGAAGGGGTGTGGTGGCTGTGGCTACCCAGCTGAGAGCCGGATTGGGGGAAATCAGGAAGTCCAGGCTCCCTTCCAAAGCAAATTGGAAAGATCCGCAGCAGCCAGGGCGGCCAACAAACAAGAGTCCCCAAATGCAAGAGTAGCAGAGGTTGTTTCGTTTCTACAAAAAGGTAAAACTTTTGTTTTGAAGCGCAATCCTACCAGCGAGGACAGATCATTTTACTAGTTCTTATAACACATGAGAAGAATCAAAGACGGAGGTCAAGAGGTGAAAGCCTCGGTCCTTCTCCCTGACCCCACAGACCCACTTATCAGAGGTAAGGTGCGAACAGTGTCTGGGGCCAGCTAGGGCTGGAAAAGTGAAACTGCACATACAATAGAACTCAGTAGTGTTTGGGATGGCAAAGGAGTGTGAGTGTGTGTGTGCGCGTGCACATGTGCACTCATAGGTTGCACACACATATGTGTGTGAGGGTAAACTGAGCCGTGGTTTACTAATTCAGACTTATTTATTAACTACGCTCATATAAACCACTGTGTAGTTTATGATGCACACTACAGCCCTTGGGGGTGTAGTATCCTCTAAAGAGACACAGAGACTAACATGTGGAGACTTGCCCAAGGACCTGGAAGACGCTACAAGCAGTGTAGCTGGGAGGAAACATCACCTGTGATGCTTCTTTAAGCTCTAGGACAGTGGCCCCTTTGGAAGGGGGGTGGTCAAACAAACCCTTTCACAGGGGTCACCTAAGACAACTAGAAAACTTAGATATTTGCATTATGATTCATAATAGTGGCAAAATTACCGTTATGAAGTAGCAATGAAAATAATTTTATAATTTTATGGCCAGGGGTCCCCCCACCATGAGGAACTGTATTAATGAACCACAGCATTAGGAAGGTTGAGAATCAATGGCCTAGAAGCTGGAGGCAGTGAAGCCGGGTGCAAACACCACCTGCATGCTTCTCCAGGCTCCAGGGAGGGCTGAGCCTAGGGCAGCTGGCACAGGAGGCTCCCATAGACCCTCATGTCTTCCCCTACTCCTTATGATCTTGAGGTGGCCACAGAGACAGTAAGCCACCCTCTTGCCATAAGCATGTTTAGTGAAAGACTTTCTCCTCTCCTCCCCTTTGAGATGGCATAGTTTCAATCCGTCTGTTCGTCTGACCACTGTACTTTAAATGCTGTATCACTCTTCTTGACAATGGCACGATGCCTGTACACAGTGTAGGAAATAGAATAGACAGAAAACAAAACAACAGGTAGAAATGTTTTGAGCTTTCTTGGAATTTCCCAATATAAAGTTGCCACTAATAAAACTCTTGAGCTGGGCACTACCCTCAGGCCCCAGCTTTAGGCAATAGCCATCAAGCATAGGAAACACACCAAAATTCGAGGGTTATTGGTGACAATGATGTTTAACCTGCATGTGACTTTTGTCATTAGACAACAGTGGGACGTCGTAGTTTTAAAGGCTGCTTTTTAATTTTAAAAATGAAGCTGAAACCCTCTATCCTTTTGGGCAGAATCCAATAAAGTTCTCGGAAAATTGGGCTTGGCCCCTGCATCTGGAAATGCCTCTGCCTCGGTTCTCTTTGATGTGTTATCAGTGGATTCTGCTATCAAGAAGACAAGCTTGCTCTAGGGTTTCAGCAAATGCCACCATGCGTGCGTCACAGAAGCCACAGGGCAGGAGAAAGACAGAGGCAGACAGGCTGCAGCTGCAGTGCCGGCACTGAGAGTCAGTGTGGCAGTGTGTGCTCAGGCTGTGGAAGTGACAGCCCCTAAGAAGCCACTTAGGGGGAAAAGAGGCTGGGGAGGCTGAGCACTCAGCCTTGCAGGACCTCGGGGGTTTTACAGCCTGTTGGGCAGCAAATGGCTGCAAGGAGGGAGGTTTGGCAAGTGGGTAGGTGTAGCTGGGACACAGAGCTGGGCATCTTTGGCTGGTGTGGATGGTGAGGGATGACAGAAGCTGCAGATGTGACAGGAGGGAGGGGTCTGAGTCAGTGTGTGCAGGAGCTGTGTGCTGTACCAGGGGCTGGGGCTGATTTATTCTTTCTAGGGCTTTGCCTCTGCCTTGTCCTGTGTGAGGGCTAGGAAGCCCAGCACCAGTGAGATGCAGAGGGATGGACACACCCAACGCAGGCACCAGGCTTTGAGAAGCTCGTAGAGGAGAAAAATAAAGCAAGGTAGACTTGAGAGATGGGGAGGCAGGGCAGTCTATATTCTTATCACCCCTCCTTCAGGGATTCTCTGCAAAGTTCTCATGTTTCTCTTAAGAAGTGTCGGTCTCCAGCCAAGGCATTCATGCGTATTAACACACACACACACACCACACACACACACACACACACACACACACACACACACACACACACAGAAAGAGAGACATGGAGAGAGGCTACTGGTTTACTGTTCCTTCCCAAGAGTTTTAACTTGGGAATGTGGGACATCAGAAGATACTACCTGGGAGACAAGGGCACTGGAGCAGGAAGTGACAACACAGAACACGGAAGTGGGGCCCTAGAGCGCGCTTTGACTTTCAGCTTCCAGAAGATTTTCTTCTCTCCGACTTGAGGATGGTGGAAACGGGAGCCCAGTGCTTGCTTATTTGTGTTTTTCTTGGGTGGTCTTAACCATCTGGGTTCCATTGAGGTAAGGAATGTTCTCAGCAGCTCTAAGAGCCCTAGTGTCCCCTAAATGAGTCAAAGGGAGAGGGAGGGCCATGCTGGGCCTTATTTCCCTGCCTGGAACCCCTTACCCTCTACCACGTGGGAAGAGAGCCAGGAAGTCCTGGAAACAGCTGGTCCTGCACTGTGTGGTGACCTCAGAGCATCTGGCCCTGGGCTGTGAGCTGCTCAACCTGCTGGGGCTGGGAGATGATGAAGGATCTCCACAGGGACAGGCCTGTCAAGGGAGGGGACAGCCAGTGACTAGCAGTGCCTTTGGAGAGACCTCTGGCTTCTGTGGCTGGGAACAGTCCTGGGCTCACTCGATCCTGGCCATGTGGTAACAGATGGGGAGTGGGCAATGGCATTCACATTTTAGCAGGCGAGAGAGAGGGGAAGGAGCTGAGGACCAGGCAGCCTGACTTGCTCTGCTTACTTCTGAGTCTCTAAAGTCAGATTTATCCCTAGAACATTCAAAAGGTACAGATAGGTGGGAGAAGGCATTCTGCCTTCTGTGGCCATCACCAGTCAAGTGCCAGGGCCCATGTTTTCAGAACAGTGGGAACCACCGGTTTAGAACTCCTGAGCGCTTTACCAACAGACACCCTCTTAGTCTCCATGACCACTAGTCTGTCCAGTCTCAGGAAGCAGAGGGCAGGCAGCTTTGCGTCCAGCAGTGGATGGCTGGGCTCAAGGATCTCCCCAGACTGGCTACTGTGCCGGGAGTATGGTTTGAGTGCCCCTCACTGTTTGGTGAGGTGAAGAATTGAACAGGTGGCCATACAATTCATTGTTTGCAGAGACGGGGCCTCTAGGAGTTATTAGAAATAAATAAGGTCATGGGCAGTGCCTGATTAGGAATCCTAGTGGCTTTATAAGAGAAACAGGTCAGATATGCATCATACTTATAAGGGCCCTAGACCTTATATTTTGGCTATAACTGTTACTAAAATAAACCTCTTTTCCCTATAAAATAGACTGCTTTTGATATTTTGTTAAAGTAGCAAGGAAACGGATTAGTATCAGATAATCAAGGATTTCCCATCTTACTAGAACCCGAGAATACAAGCAATGAATGAGTTTGGTATGATACTCTGGTTGTCCTTGGGAGCCCCACTCTTTCATCCAAACCTGATATGAGATGTGAAGACACATATCACCCCCCCTCATGTCTTTTACCAGCCTCTACTGGAGTTACTTGCAGGTAGATGGGTCATTTCTATCCTAGGAAATGTTCTAGTCTCCAAATGAGGACCATGTTGACTTCAGATCTGGATCATAGTGCCCCAGTGCATTATGGGAGCCTAGATGGTAAAAGGACACAGGGGTTCAGCTTAAAGCCTCATGTCAAATGGTCCTCCAATACCAAGAGGTCAGTTCTGAGGTCATGTTCATATAGGTAATGCTACAGGGACTGAGCAGGTTGTATTTGTGTATTAAGGAGTGTGTGTGTGTGTGTGTGTGTGTGTGTGAGAGAGAGAGAGAGAGAGAGAGAGAGAGAGAAATAAAGAATAAGAGGCCATGAATTTGAGAGTGAGAAAAGAGATACATGGGAGAGGTTAGAGGGAAAGGGAAATAATGTAATTATATAAAAAATAAAAAGATTTTTTATAGCAATATCTATTGCTTAAAAGATATCCAGTCTACCTGTTGGTCCCTCATATGGCTAAGAGACCAGAGTAGTAGTCATGTGTCCTGTCACATGTGTGCCCTGCAGCCTAGGGTGGCACTGCAGATGTGCCTGGCTCCCCCCCAGTGAGTCTATTCCTCCCAATGTTGGGAACTAAGAGTATTTAGGATCAGATCTGGGTCAGAATCCAACTGGGCATGTCACTTAGCTGTGACAAGTTTCTGCTTTGAGGAGTGGAATCATGGGCAATTTTCATTCAAATGCATTCAAGAAAAACATTGGGCTAAATGTGGGGCATGGGAGCCAGGCTCATCATGAGCTCTGTCAGAGGCAAGGGCGGCTGAGAAGAAAGTGGCTATGGTTGTCTTAGTGGAGCTACAGCAACCACTAATCAAGAAAATGTCCCATAGACGTGCCTACAGGCCGATCTGATGGAGGCATTTTCTCAATTGAGGTTCCCCATCGCAGGTAACCCTAGCTTGTGTTAAGTCAACAGAAAGCAACCAGGACAGCCCTTAAGAGAGAATAAGATGAAATGGATACAGTTTTCATAGTTTAAATTTGCTTTGTAAGTCTCTGGTTTCCATTTACGCTCTTCACAGACAAAGCAAAATACATCACTCACCTATCACTTGGCATAGGTATCCTCACCAACGATCCAATATTTAGTGTAGGCTAGTTTCAAAGGAAAACATGTAAAAACCTTTAGTAGGGCATGGCCACCATGTGTCATGGATGTCAGTAATGGGTCTTTTATAAGTTACTTAACAACTCAGAGCCTCCATTTCATTCTGTAAACCAGCAACAGTTCGAGTGCCTGCCCTTTAGGGGCGTGAGGGTTAAAGGCGACAGAGAAGGAGAACATACAAAGTGCCCAACAGTTGTGACTTGAGCTGTGCTGCTGACCCCTCTGTTACTCTCACATGAAAAGCCGATCAGACGTTCAGTTCTTGGGGTTAGTAGAGCATTAACTCCACAGGAAACACCCTAGCAACCTTGCTTAGTTGAGGAGAACGAACTGTCCTGCCTGTAGTTACTTCTCATTGTGTTAAACCAGCAGCTTTCAGGCTGTGCCTCTCCCCAAGTGATTTCATTTCTCAAAGCTCACACTGTTTGGAGTATAAGTGCTGGGCCAAAGGGACTCCGTAATTTTCCTGAACAAGGAGGTAACTACTGGGTCTTGGACACTCAGAATTTTTTGGACTGAACCCTCATTTGTCTGGCACAAACTGTAAGGTACAGACTGATGAATAATTTATTGAAGCAAATTAAAATGACTGCCTATGGATTTATTAATTAAACCAGGAAGACACAAGCACATGAGTACAACAAAACCACATCAGAGAACCTAGGCCTGTGTGCTTGGCAAAGATTCAGCAGTGAAGGATGCCGCCAACTCACCAGGACCATGGAACAGAGCAGCAGCTAAGTAGGGTATGAAGGCACCTCCAGGACCATGGAACAGAGCGGCAACTAAGAGGGGTATGAAGGGTATGAAGGCACCTGCAGACTGCCATCGGACCTTCTGGTGAATTCATCGTGGAATCACAGGCAAGGGGCTCCTCCTTTCATCTCCAGGGCTTTAGTGATGAATGACAGCCCCCTTTACTACCCACTGGAAGGGACATTGGGAGGAGATAACTCGATGCCTTGACCAGCCCTGCCCAACAGCTTACCTCTGAGGAGCTCGGTGACTGGTTCCTTAACATCTTCTAGCCATCAGCAGGACGCTCTTTGGTCCTGTCAGCTCATTGCTTTCCCCTTCACTTAGACACCCCTCATCGGCACTGAAGCCACTATAATCCCTTCTTGGCCATTCTATTATCTCTTATTGTTTTGTGAAATGTAGTATGGATGCGACCTGAGAATTATTAATGTTGGTAACTGAGATTGGGATAGAATAAAAGAATCTTTGCTTACTGATGGTCACGAGGACCAAGTGAAAACAAGAAAATCTATTGGCTAAAAACTCAGGAAAATTGATACAACTTATGAACTTATTATTAATCAATGCGTTTTGCCACCATAAGAAGACAGCCATGTCTGACTATGCTTCTTACGTAGCTCATTCAGAGTATCAGTTTAACAATGCTGAATAGAGAACTAAGAGGTTGGAGAGATGGCTCTGTGGCTAAGAGCACCGGCTGCCCTTCAGAGGATCCAGGTTCTACTCTCACTGCCCATGGCCCTGCTCAACTGTCAGTAACTCCAGTTCCCAGAAAATCCGTCTCCCTCTTCTGGTCTCTGAGGGTACTGCACACACACAGTACACAGAC